GTGTCAAAGCTAGCAGATCAGAGGCCTTCTGGTTTCAAGGGTCCTTTCAAAGACTGCAATTACAGAGTTCTCACTCTTTAGCTGCTGGTTGCCTGGCTGTCATACTGACACTCTGGGTTCAATATCTTGGGTCAATACCCCAGAACACAAAAGTATGTCCCATCGCACTCCTGGCCAGAAAGAAACCCTGAGGTCGGGTGGGTGCTGTAGTGATGGCAGATGCCTCTGCAAGTTACATGAAATCGATAGGAAGTCACTCCCACTCCAGCTTTATACTAACAGGTCTATTCACAAAAGGGTGAGGAGTTTGGAGAAGGCAGAAGTGAACAATCTAGGCCAACATAGCTGAACACTCCAATTCAGCCCACTTTCCAGTTCAGCGATGTTGTCCTAGATCAGTTGTCCTGAACCTTGGCACTCCAGCTGTTTTGGAACTACAAGTCCCATGAGGCATTGCAAGGCTCTGACCTTGGCACTCCAGCTGTTTTGGAACTACAAGTCCCATGAGGCATTGCAAGGCTCTGACAGCCACAGACATAACTCCCAGAGGCAGATGCATGTTGGGATTTGTAGTTTTGGCACAGCTGTAGTGCCAAGGTTCGCCACCACTGTCCTAGATTGTTCCCTTCTCCTGCCTTCTCCAAACCCTTCACCCTTTTGTGAATAACTCTGTAAGTCAATCTCTTTATTGACTATAGAAGTGTCACATTTTAGACCAACGTTTCGGAACCATGGGGTCCCTTCTTCAGGGAAACAAAGAATACCCCAGAACAAATACGCAAATAAGTCATGCTGCCTTTGAATTTCCTGATCTACCTACATGTTCCATATCCAGAGAGTCACTATAAGAGCCAGGCAACTAGTATTTTATTAGGGAGGTCAGCAATTGAAGCCCCCATCGTTCTAGCGGGACAGGTATGCTTAGAATTCAACTTTTTATGCTCCATACACAACGTTTATGGCCACTCTCTGCATATGACTTGCTGGTTAGTTGCCATGCAGAGGTAAGACGTCACAAACATTCACCCTACCTGTGGACAGTTGTGCGCAGAGATTGCAGTGCATCTGCCGAACACATCTAGATTCACATATGTGGTGTTGGGATGCATTTCCCAAACTCAACCGGTATGTACTGCCAGATGTTTGAGTGGTAACCATTCCTTGTAGTCACCGGAACCTAGTGAGAGTCAGTATTTGCATATTAGAGTAAGCGATGTCCAAGCACCTGGAGGTTCCGGCTATACCATACTAGACATAGTTTACAAAGGCTTTGCTGAATACAGGTATGCTTTAAAACTGGATCAACATGGATATGCAGCAAGGGCGGACAACAACTCAGAGACATTCTTGTGGTCTAAACCTGGATACACCCAGGTCGCAGGTTGTGCAGAATATACAGATACAGTATAATGATATATATTTTACAGATGTACGAGTAACAAGCCTTACATAATCAATTGTACAGAGGAAGTGCTGATGAGAATGAAAGGAAATAACTAGTGGTTGGGTTTACCATAGACTGTTCCTCCTTCAGATACTTAGGTAAAGAGGGACAATCATGACAGAAGGAAGGCTCAGAGAGCAGAATCTGTTTAGTTTTTCAAATTCAGGCACCCCGATAATATTCAGACACCCCTGGAGAATGGAACTCTGGGATATATTAAACCTAGCTGCACCGTGAAATAAAATACCATCGGCAAAAAGACGAGAGGAATGTATCATTGGAACATCAAGAGGTGTATTTATAAACAATTCACAGAGCTATTCACCCTACAAATTTGCATGTATATCTGTTCAGTGTGGCTGGAGGCAAGAACGACTGTTATTAGCATAATTTTCTTTCCAGGCTAAATTTAATTTTAGGTAAATACCGCATTATGGCCACTAGATGGAGCTTCTTTCCCATGCTCCTAGTCTCCATCTAGTGGCCATAATGTGGTATTTACCTGAAATCACATTCAATCTGAAAATGATGCTAAAGACATTCATTTTTGCGACCATTAGTACAGAATGTAAATGCAACTTTGCCGGGCCAATGGCTCTGTGAATAGCTTATAAATTCACCCCAAAGTCTCATGCCTAGTAGTGTCTAATGGAAGCGCAGTTTGTGAGGCACAAAGCAACCCAGTTTTTTTTGAAGGGGACAATATAATTAGTTGTGATGGAGCGCACAGAAGGGTCCTTCACCCACAATCTATGAGATCACCTGTTTGGAACAGCAGCAGCCTTTTGGGTAGGTAATAAAACAAATGAGCAGAGCAACACCATTGTGATGGGGAATGTATCTTCTTTCCCCCATGTATGTTAAAGGAGAACTATGAGGGGGTGCTTTTGACTCACCTCATAGTTCTAGCCGACCTGTGACAATGAGACTGTCACAGGTCGGCTCAGTAGATCGATGTCGGGATCCGGCTGCGGCGTCTCAGTACCGGCGTTCGCGTCTCAGTATACCTCGAGCTGTAGCTCCCTATATACTGAGCTTAGGGTAACGGGAGGACGCTAGTTTGTGTCCTCCTGTTACCCTAAGGAGAACTATGGGGAAAAACCCTGACCCCATAGTTCTCCTTTAAAAGAAGAGTAAAGCCAACCCTTTTTTCGGCTATACTTCTCTTTTGGGTCACACAATTACAAATACTAATCTACTCCTGCGACTCAAAGTCATCCAATAGCAGGCTAAGGCCTAAACACTATGAGGGGAATCAATCAAAACTGGAGCAGACAAAATCTGGAGCAGCTGTGCACAGCAACCAATAAGCTTCTCCCTTTCATTTTCAAATTGTTACTGAACAAACTGAAGAGAGAAGCTAATTGGTTGCCATGGGCAACTGCTCCAGTTTTGATAAATTCCCCTCAAAGAGTTTTTAGTTCAGTTTTGCCTGGAAGATATTCATAAAACCACAAGCTATTTACAGCTAGAACTCTTAGGGAACAGGTCAGACTGGGCTCTAGGTCAGTGATTGAGAAATTGCTGAAGCCATTATCCACCTAATACAGGGGACACTCAGTCAGTTCATGAGCATCTAGAAACAGAAATGAAGATGCATGCAATGACGTCACAAGATGAAGTTAAATCTCCTTATAAGTTGCCTTCTCTGGATTCTTCCTCCCATCTTGTCAACGTGCAAATGAAAATTGTAACTAAAACCTGTTTTATTGCATTCCTTATATTAGACTGAGTGATATCACTGGGTCTCTGCGCTTCTCCATACAAAACAGGCCGATCGTGGCTAGTGGGAGGGGCTATCAGGGTGCTGTTCATTGCTTCCCAAAAACATCACAGCACTCTGTCACAAGACTCCTTTCAAGAGCCCTCAGCCCTGATGCAAGCAGTGGGCAGGCTCTTGGAGGGAGTTATGCAAATACCAAAATGCCGTGATGGGTGTATGTCACTGGAGGAGTAGGCATGCTGTATTTACATGCTGATCGGCCAAGTAACACCCACATGGGACGCTGAGCCTCCATGATTGAAAGAACTGAAATCCAATGGATGAAAGGGGCGGGCCAGGGACAGTCAGGCTAGGGGGG